TTCCATTTACCATCTTGTGGAGTGGTTAACTCACTTTACCTGGGAACAGACAGCATTCCCATTAATTAGTCTGCAGTTATCTCTCAGGAGCTTCCTCATCTACTGGGATGATGATATAATCTGCTGCGTGAAAACACACACACACACACACACACACACACCTGTCATGTTCTGACACCTGTCAAACCCCTCTGTCGTGCCATTCCTGTTACTGAGCAGCTCTTTAAAGCCACGCTGAGGAAATAGTGTTTGTTGTTTACCCCTTAAAAACTACATTTCGTTTCTTGGCTTTTACACAGTTTCCCATTGGACTTTACTTAGCTACTGCTTAGGTAGGTATTATTTTTAGACGTTTGGATCATTTAGTCATGTATCAAGTAGGTTATGAGGTGCTTGATATTCCCACTCTTGCTCTATCATATGCTATGACTTGAATTTGTGCTTTTACTTGTTGGACTTTCATCCTGCTGTGGCTTGATCAGTTGCCAGGAGTATACAGGACGCTATCATCTCTTTCCACGATGGGAATTATTTTCTGAAATTAAATTGTTGAGGCCAATTGGGTCCTGGGTAGATGGTGCTGAAAGATGTCATCTCCGCAGAGCACACCCTCAGGTCCATTCGATTGCTCAAACTTACACGGAGGCCCACTTAACTTAGCATCTGTGACATCTACGATTAACCATTAGCCAATCTGAACTGGAGATATCTTGCATAAGGAGACATCTGAGTCCACTGGCTGCTTGCCGATGAGTCATTTCCAGTAATTAAAGATGCTGAGGATCATGTCAGTTCAGGCATGGGAAATGTGCAGAGGTGACAAAATGCTGGAGTCTGGCCCCGGCTCTGGGTTCACGTACACATTCCCGGTATGTGCTGCGGATCAGGCGGCACTCAGGTGTCAAATACGGCAGACTGACGACATGTGAAGCATGACAGATGAAGCGATGGTGTGATTGGAGTTACCTGAGAACAGTGCGAGCCGCTTACCAGGCAGAGTCTGGGGTTTGATGCGTCTGTGATCGGTGGAGATTGGTCCCAGTGCAGCGGCAAGCTCATAACACACCGTGCCATAAGTCAATCAGTAAATCAATACGTGACAGCTGGAGGTCGCTTGTTTTCTCGCTGTGAGGAGTATGAAGCACTTTTGTGTCTGAGTCCTGAATGTGTCACACATTATGGGGCTGAACTTTTGCCATATCAACTAAGTTGAAGTATGTGCCACTCAGCCTGTGTTTTGACGTGTGCTACTTTTTTTGCTGAACACATACATGTCTTTGTACGACTGGCGCGTCCCCAAAGTCCTAGCAGTGTCTTCAGCATCCTCTTCTGCAGAGCCAGTGCTGGGCTAGAGTGTCATCCCAATAATAACAAACTATGCACAAATTGTCATATCATATGAGAGCAGAGTGATACCTTCAGTTTAACCATCACTGTGAGCGGGTTGCCTCTGTTTTTTTGGAGTAACTTTACTTACAAATGTTTTAAATGCAAGTGGATCTCCTGGTTTTTTTTTATCACACAGTAACAATATTTAATATAAATTCTTATTCTCATTTTTCCAAGTCTATGAATCTGTGCCCTCATCTCAGATTATTTCATTGACTCACTCACATACAATAAAATCAACAGGTGGCGATGGCAGCTCAATGTGATTATCTGGCTGAATCGACCTTCATTGTGTATCTATTAAGTATATACAAGTATACAATACAGCTGTGTGCTTCGCGAAAAACTATCAAGCCGATCACATTTTGTAATTGAGAAAAAAATATAGTGCTAATTATTGTCACCACTTTATTCCTCAGCTCTGCTTTGAGCTCTTCAGGACTACATGTATCTCAGTGAGAGTTCGAAGATGTGCTTTTCTGCAGGCTGCGTAATGATATGGGATGTTTTCCTTTTTTGTTGCACTTAAGTCGCTGGTTTGTATAAAGCGGAAAATAAATCTGTCTCCTCCCTGGTTTGTTTAATCCAAAATAAAAAAATTAAAAAAAGTACTGTGAGAGGGGAATTAACCGACTGGGGCCTTTTTTGTTATCAGGAGAATAAAGTGGTGTGTTGTGAGTGTGTATACATTCTGTATGATCCTGCTCAGTTTATTGAAGTTGGTATCTAGAGAGAGCAGCTGTTGTCTAATCAACAGAAATAGATGGGGCCTCCCCTCAGTGGGCCGCAGACCTGCTGGTGCAAAGAGGTCACAGACATTCACTGATCGTGCACATGGTTGTGTGTATTTACAGCATTTAGTCACACTTTAAATCACACTGATGCCTGTTGGAAGTAATCATTTCCATGTAGAGCAACATTTTCAACTTTTCAGCATTGAATCTTTGCTGTGTTTTGTAACTCTTTATGGCAGCATATTTTTCAGTGCTGTTGCACAATAAGGTGATTTCATGTGTGTCAGCAGCATTGGCAGGGTAATGAGAGCACAGCCTGGGCTCACCTGTCTACATTCATACAGAGGGGACCTTATTGTTCGGAACAATGTGTTTGCCGTAGTCTACTGGCGGTCTCGTTATTTGGGTTAGTGGTGTCATGTTAAGCCTTATTAGTAGACATCATTATGTGGTTTCTTATTAATGTTGTGATGTTTATTTTGTGCTCACATTTATTTCAAAATAAGTTACGCATAGTAGTCTTTTTTTTTTTTTTTTTTTCTTGTTGAACGGGAGCTCATTGACCCACACAGGCATATTATCCTGCTGCAGCTTGAATTCACTGCCAGAATGGAAAATGAGTCAGTGTGGTTGCTTGGCAGAGACCAAACTTCAGTAAATATCCCACATCACGTCAACAATTTGACAAATGCAGTTCCTCCTCCACAGCAACAAACAATCTCTTTGGCATGTTCGCGGACACTTTATGGTCGTTGGAGTCTTGAACGCATACCCCTCCTATGAGCTGATGCCTGACTTGTCATAGATAAGGAAAAAGGAGTAATACTGTCGAAACATGCTATCTGAGTACCAAGGTCCATCACCTATCTTAATGTTGAGGACACCGTGTTTTAAAAGTCTTACCGCGATTACACTTTGCCAAAGCTATAATGTTCATTCCTTCGTAGGACTGTGAGTGTGGTCAGCTCTTTAGGGGGGCTAATCGTCTGCTCCTGTTTGTGCTGAAAAGACTATGTCTAACATAATTATGAACAATGGAAAGTCTGCTTCACTAACTGTCCTCAATAGTCCCTTTCTGCTTGTTTGCTGTTTGCAGTTTGTAGAAGCTAAGCAGCTGGAGGAGGGGGAAAAAAATGTCATCAGCGCTGGTTATCACAGCACCTCTGCAGCGTAGCTAATGTTTGAGCTCGACTGGTCCTGAACCTATGCAGGTCTGCATGCTGAGAAGAAAAGATTTTCCACCAATTAAAATCATTCCGTGAATATATTTATCTGAGAAAAAACTATGGACCCAATTTACCAAAGTGTTCCTTGTGTAAAGATATATTCATACCCACTGGCAAAAACTCAAATGGGCATAATCCAAACCATGCCCTTGCTTGTCAAATGTAATTTACCAAGGCTGAAAGTCGTTAAAGGAAAGGTAATTGTGTGTGTAATAACATGTAGAGGGAGAAGGTATTAAGCACACAACCATAGATTGGAGCTCTGATAGCAGAAAGGACACAGCAGATAACCCAGAATTACTGCTGTACCAAGGCTTCTCGTGCCATCCTTCTCATTATAGGCTGTTTCACTCATTACTATTGATTAATTAACCTAAAGCGCACATCTACCGGCAGCACGGTGGCTTAGTGGTTATCTCTGTCAGGTCACAGCTGGAGTCCAACCAGCCACATGGAGCCTCTCTCTGTGTTTGCATGTTCACCTCATGTCTGTGTGGATTTCCTTCTGCAGCTATAAATGTGATTTTTAGCTTGAAACTCGGCGCTTCTTGCTAAAATGTTCTTTAATGCAGCTGCTAAAAATGTTTGCATGTTTTATTGTATACACCATTTTACAGCATCGCCTTTTAAATCTGCTGGTGAAGGTGGATGGTTTTGAAAACATTATCTTCACACCTGACCTTTGTGCTTGTAATTGCTTACCGTAGGAGGCCGACAGCAGGTTTGTGGAGTGTTTAAAGCATCAAGCAGCTTGTATTGTTAAAGTGTCTGTGATCAGACCCCTCCCGAGAGGCTGAACATCCAAATACCTTGGTCTAATAGGAGTTTACAGGATGCACTGGTTGCTGTTCGGTGTGTACAGTCAAGGTGCTCTCAGTGCTTATAATGGAAGAGTGTCCCACTTTATCTCCATCTAATCTTCCCTCAGCGCTGGGAGGCAGGGAACATCTGAGTGCATACACTAACTTTGAAGGTGAAAGTATTTGAGTCATTCCAGTCTACCGTGACCCTGTGCCATACACCTGCCTACACGCACACAAACAGAGCTGGAAACCTCTCTCTCTCTCTCTCTCTCTCTCTCTCCATCCAAACAAGCACACTATTGCTTGCATCCACACACATCAAAGCGACCGTATTTTTCGCCTTTTCTCACCCATGATAACAGTAAGTTTGTAAAGCAACCTAATTTGTAGATAGCGGAAAAAGAGTCTGCTAATCCTGGTTTAGGTGTGGAGCAGCTGCAGGCTGGTCATCTCTTTCATCTGTGATTGACAGCCGCAGCAGCAGAAGCGGCCTCACGCACTTTTCCCCAGTGCCCACAGGAAGTTTCACGTGATACTCCTACTGTCTCACCCCCACAGCTTCGACTACATGGTGTGTTAGATTTGCTGCACAAAGGAAAGTGGCCTATGATGGGAATAGAAAAAAAAAACAAAATGCACAACTACTACTTTCACGCCTCATTATTTAAAGCCTCTTTTTGGCTCATAGTAATGTACTTAAGGTCCTGATGATGGCTGTTTTGAAAATAGCGTGAGGTTTTGCATTTTGCATTTTGTACTGTGATTATCCCAAACACACTGTTTCCACTTTGAGCTAATGATGATGCTCCCCAACTTGACATTTGTGTCTGTTTGTGTCTTCTCTCCAGCAGGATGTACTGTCTGCTCCTTTCACCCGTCAGACTGTCAGGAGAGCACATGGGCTACGGTCAGCAGCCCACTCCACACTCTTCACCCAGCCTCCCAGTGCCCTGTCTCCACAGGTTAGTGTGTCCGCATGCATGCATATGTGTATCTGAAAGGGACTGAAAATAATAGATTGTCTCATTTTGTACATTATTGATTCCCGTGCCATACGGCATCTAAACCAAATCCATATTTATGAGCCCTGTTGTGCGTTATATGTCTGGCTCGATGATGTGGACAGCACATGACTCCAGAGCTTCTTTTATATATTGATAGAAGCGAGCATCGGCATCGTCAGCACTTTGTCACGCATTCATTGACCAGCGCAGTTTTTAAAGTCATTTGGAAAAGTCTACCAGGAAAATTGTTGTGTCATTATAAAGCCAAGATTTCAGGTTGTTTTAGATATCAGATCAATATCGGCCAATTGAATATTGGCAGCGACTGGAACCTGCGTCATTCCACCTTAAGAAGCTGCCAGCTACCCTAAGAATTTCAGTTTTAGTTTATTCCCTTGTGATCTTTTGAATGCTGAAAGAATAAAACTGTTAAAGCCCACATTCAATGCAAAATGTTCTCTGTTGGCAGCCTCACTTTAGATTTATTTATCTAATAAACTCCTGTCATCCAAATCCCAATGATCCCTCGCCACTTGTTCCTGTTTGGATCAGGGGTAACCTGTTGTCGTTTCTATTATTTTCAGTTCAGCAGTGATTAACATGCAAGGCCTATTTAGCAGGGAGTACTTTGAAGGTTGATGAGGTCACTGGACAGCAGGCCTTTGATAAAGCCATTAAGTGGGAGAAATCTATTCAAATGCATTCAAAAAGCCCTCTGTTCAAAGGCAGCCTCTCTGTGTGTCGTCGCCTTGATTCACTGTTGTGTACATGAAGCAGTGTGTGTTGCCATATGAAGCCAGATCCCTGTTGAACCTTAATACAGTCTGCAAATCAACACTTTTGACACTTTTATGTATTTGGAATCTAAATAATGCAATGTGCCATGTAACCATGGAGATAAAGCGTTGACAGTGACGTGTTGCTGTGGTGTGAAGTTAAACTTATCAAAATCATTTCACCGACGACGCTGCTGCTGTGCGTGTGAAACAGAAACTTAGTAGCTGAATGAGGATGTAACAAACTGTTGCAAATAATTCTTAATGCCACACGGGGAGAGTTTATATCAGCACAGTGGAGTTAGAATAACCTATCATGATATACTTAATTGACTTGCAGATGTTTGATGCATTTGCCAAACTGCCTGTTCCTCGTGGGGCTTTCAGACTGAAATTTGTCATCTGACAAAATAATGGATGACTGCGTGTTATTATGTACGTGTCTGTTGCCTGTTGCCAGTAGCGTGACATTAATACCGTATTAATTTCTTCCTCAGTTATAAATTTGATTGACTGTTGCCATCTGTTTGTGGAGCAATCCAGCAAGAGTTTGATTGTCTTTCTCTGCAGAGTTGTGTTTCATTAAGAGAGGTGCAACAAATTCTTGAAAGTCATGTCTGTTGTTCTCCACATAGCTAGTGTAGTACTTGTAAAGTGACATATTTATTATGCCTCAGTGCCAGCCACAGCCAGAGCCAGATATATTGTTTTCAGGTTGTCCGTCCATCCGTCTGTACGCATTTTGGTGGTCAAAGGTCAAGGGCATGGTGACCTCTCAAAACACGGTATTGGTCTTGTGAATGTGATATCTCCTAGTAACACCCTTACGAAACTACTTCAAATTTTGCACAAACATTCACTAGGACTCAAGGATAAACTGATTAGATTTTGGTGGCTAAGGTAAAAAGGTCAAGGTAGTGGTGACCTCACAAAACATGATTTTGGCCTTGCGAATGCAATATCTCAAACTCCTCAAGGGACTCCCTACACATTTGGCACAAATGTCCACTGGGACTCAAAAATGATTAGATGTAAAATTAGATGTTGGTGATCAAAGGTCAAGGTCAGTGTGTGACCTCACAAAACATTTAAGACTTCACACAGCAATTATGACAAAGTTTCACATTAATGGTTGATATTTTATATGACTCTAAATAAACAGGGATGTGATCTGAAACCCTTCTGAGTGGCGGAGGCATACAACCGTGAGGCGGTAATTCTAGTCCTGAAAAATAAAATGTATTTGACTAACTTCAGATTGAGTTTCGTAGCTCATTTTTGGCCTTAAAAGCAGCAGTTGACGTGGTCCATTTAGTACGTATCGTAGCTGTTCAGGTGCTTTTGATCAAACAGCATGATCTTCATCAGCAGATGTTGAAGTTTTCTCTTCTGAGCTCTTAATAGACTTGCTGGCTCTAGATTGAGTTTCACCACCTACAGTCTGCTGAAGATGATCCTGTGATATGATTGAGTGTCTTAGAACAGCTACTAAAAGAACCTGGAGGTGAGATCGTTTAGTCAGATGATGTTGCACGCATTTAGATTATAATCACAGTCGGTATGCACATGTACACATGGATGTCAGAGTCCATGTCTTTGCACGTATGTGTGAATTTAGTCTGCTTCCACATGATAGCTCTTGAGGATTAGTACAAGTCTGTTGCAATGTTCTCAGCACATGGTGTCGAATCAGTGTCCTTCCAACAGAACATGACGATCAGTCATAAGATCTGACTCCTCGGCGCTGCCACTTTGTCCTTCCGTCTCCTCTCCAATTTGGCTTTGGGCGGACCACAACTCTTTGCACTTGGCATTCCTGTGAGTAAGGTCCAGCTAGAATTCAATAAAGGAGACGCATTATGTTAAAAAGATCAGCTCAAGGTTAAGTGTGTATATTTGTCACCAGGAAATGTGCTTGGCCCACCAACAAGCTTGCACTGGATGAAAATTTTATGATGAGAACAGGATATTTGTTCCTTGAGTGCTTGCAATCCCTCTGCCGTGTGTAGCAGTGCATTAGCTCATCTCCTCGTCTTCCTGTGCGTGCGCGTTTGTGTGCGTTTGTGCTGGTTTGCGTGCACGTGAGCGAGTGTATGTTCGGTGCGCTCTGTTTGTGTTTGGTGCTTGTGTATCTATGTGTCATTGGGATATGTGAAACAGAGAAGGCCGGGCATGGGTTTGCACAGGGTGGGGGGTGATTGTACAATGAAAAATGAGCAGAGGCTTCCCTCGGACTGTGTTTACATTTTACTGCAGCGGGTCACTCAGGAAGGGGGGTGGGGGAAGGTTGGTGAATGAGAACAGAGGAAATGTATACATTACCTCTGCTGCCGGGAAGTAAAAACATCAGCCATGGGTAGCCCTACTGAGGCCTTGTTTACACGGGGGTGAAACAACAGAGCGGAGAGCCAGTCGATAGTCCCGAGTGTCCCTCTCGCTGCCACGTAGCCTCCAGAGGGAACGCTGTTTGTTCAGAGGGCATGGGAGGGAGGAGACATAGGAGGCTCAGCAGGGAGTGTTTGCTTTGCCAGGGCTTGTTGTCTCTGCTTGGTAGGCTGAAGGTGATATTGTCATAACCGCAGTGGAAGGAGGGAACATCAGCAGAGCAGTGACACCGAACAGAAATTCTGGGAGAATGAAAATCAGGTTGCATAAACTTGTCAGCCTCGCAAACAGGCTCCTAACATGCCTGCTGCGCTGACTGCCATTTGTGTAACTGCATTGTTTTCATTCAACACTTCAATTTTTCTTCTCTTTTTTTTTCATGTCATTGATATCCATTTCCCTTTTCTCCTGCATTGCTGCAGTACAGGCACTTGTCTCCCACTTGGCAAAGCCAGCGCTCCCTCCCTCCCCTTCCCTCCTCCCTCCGTCGTTCCTTGGCATCCATCAGTTTAGCTGCAGCTTCCCACAAGGCCTGATGGGTCACGGCTGCACACACACACACACACACACACACACACACACACACACTCACACACTCACACACAGCCATTCTCAGCGGCACTATTCAAGCATGGACCTCTCGACCCATCTGCGATTCAGCTCCTACAGACGGGAGCTGTGGCAATTTGGAGAAGTTGTCAAATATCACACCGACACATGAAGAGAGAAATCAAAACGGGTGGGTTCCCAATTCATACAGTTCATGCTACTCCATGTGTGCAAGAATAAAACTGAAGGGCAGATTGGTGGATGGATTGGAGATGAGATAGAAAGAAAAAAGAAGAGATTCTGAAAATGAGGAAGAAACGCCGTGGGAGTTGGTAAAGATTTAAGGGAAGGGCAGCGGAGGCAGTAATGCAACTGCAGAGCTCTTGAGCAAGTTGCACTTGACAGGCACTTTGAACCTGATGCCTGACTCATGTCCTCACCAAGCCTGTCTATGTTGAAAGGGGTCTCTCCTTTTCCTACCCCGCCTTGTAATGTTCCTTTTGAAGGCAGAGCGGACATGGATCAGTAAAGCTAAAACTTTGTCTGGTCAGTTCAGGTGTTTAATGCTCTGTCCTCCATCTTTTGTTGGGTGATTTTGTCAGTAACTTACACTCTTACACTCACTTTGGCAATCGCACATTGTCCAATCTCTGTCATGTGCGTGCAGTTCAAGATCAGAACCAGCGGCTTTATGCAGAAAGCTCAATGTACAGGCAGTATGGCGAGGAGTTTGGGAAGCAGCCAGTTACTGAAAACAATGGCTGCTGTTTTCTGCAGCAGGCAGGTGTGTTCTGAAGAGAGCCATGAAAGCAGTTTGTTCCTCTGTTTAAATGATGTATTGAACTACCCAAGCAGAAGTAGCCACCCCCCCCCCCCCCCCCCCCCCGACAAAAAGGTTTCTTCTGAGTGCGTTTCTCTTTTTGTGTGGGCGCACATTTCCGTCTCTTCCTCTCCTTTTATGGCAACAAGTCAGCGAGAGTTTGTGGCGCACCGTCCATTTACACTGATTGACCATAAACTGTGTGGGATGGCCTGTCCAACCTTGTAGCTCATCACCCACCCAGTCAGGGTCAGACAGGGATTTTGTTTGAACGTTGTCACAAAGTATTTGTAGTCACCACTCATTTTTAAAATCTGATTTATTTTTGGTTGTATAATGTGGCCATGAAGTTCGGAGATGTTCACAACAATAATCATGAAGGCTTTAGTCGAGTTGTTGGTGTTCTTTGTGTTTTCACAGTTCTACTT